GCTACTGAAACAAACAGCACTGCACCTCTGATTGCCAGTAATCAATATAATCATCACTGCAGGTGCACTTAACAAGTGCATGTACTTGTTAAGGTAACGATATTGCTCATAAGCACCATAATTAGTGACCATATAAAGTATTAAAACAGTATTGTGTCACAACATCTGGCTGGCTCTGTTGTAGCTCGGGTCTGTAGCCCAGCAAGTCGTTCAGGCAGTTTGTTTGTTTTTAAAGCGGCTCATCCGTCTCTCCTACATTCAAAATTCCCGACACACACGTTATAAACTAAGATACATTAAGCTCCAGTTTAAAATCAAATCAACAAAGACCCTCCTGTTCCTCCTTGTTCTGATGATGACATTAGTGTAGCTGCTCCCCACACACATCCATGCAAAGAGGAAAGAGCTGCCAACATTGTGTGGTTGTGTGTGTTACAAGTACAGGTTTATGCAAAGATGCTCATGATTATTATCTTTATGAGAAACCAGGCTAAAAACTGCCTCCATTTGTGATCTTAGAGCGATCACGCTGACCATTGTGCACCCATGAGAACACTGTTTAGCATCCACCCGTTTAAGCGCCAACGTGTTTCTTTAATTTCTTCCTTTACCTTTTTGATGACAGGAACCTTGTTGTAGTAACGAATGCAGTCTTTACCCAGGAAGTCAAACTCCACCACACATTCGTTGCCATCCAGCTGCTCGTGCAGAGTGATGTGCTCGACGCGAAGTGAGCAGCAACCCACCGTGTCCGCCGTCTCTCCCTCCTCCTTCTCGTTGCCAGCTCTCAGGGCCAGCTTTTTGGGTCAGAGGATACAGAGATTACCACAGATGCAGAAGCACACGCCGAGCTTTTCCATCACAAGGTGCACAGAACGCATCCGAGTCAGACAACCGTTAAAATATATACACGTGCTAATAAAAAGACCTTTGTGACAAACGAAATGAGACAAAAATGGCAACTGAAATAGTTTCTGGCATGAGCCAAAAGCAATCACGTACTCAATCCATCATTTCACTTCTTACAGACTGAGATAATTAGCTTGAAGTCTCTGGAAGAAAATGGCTACATGTAATCCATTACTTTGCAAAAGATTTTCATCCAACTATGTTGGAAAACAGAAAAGGCAATCAACACATGCTGAATTGATTTCCAATATCTTCACTTTGCTCCAGCCTATTCACACGACCACTTCAGTTTTTCTCCACATTCATGCAAACATCTCAAGCAAATCAGAGAAGCTCACGTATGAAAGTTTCTTTCTAGTTCTGCTGTGTGAACTTGTAACAATTTGTAATATCAGTTGTGCAACCCGAACCTTGTCTATGAAATACAGCGCCACAGCTCTCTGACGTGTAACCATCTGTTTGGACTTTAGATCCTGGAGGTACTGGTAACGGATGTCATCCACGCGTGATTTCAGTTTCCGAGCAACCTCGTATTTCTCCCAATCCTTCTCTCCCTGCAAGAAAGAAAGGCAAGATAAGCAGGAGGGAAAAGACTAAACATGAAACGTAAACAGAAGCAAAAGTGACGGGTGATGACAATTATAAAATAAAATAATGAAAAAGTGGTTTTAATTTAAAAGCCCTGAAACAATCACTAACACAGGATCTTCCACTATAACACAACATTCTCTGTGTTGTTTGCTTCTGCTTGTTT